TGAGTCTGGTTTTTTGGCTTTTTTCCTGATCTGGCCATTTCAAGCCAGCCTTTCCAGAGTGAACAGCAAAAGGCTGCTGCCCCTCCCCACATGAACTCATATCAAAGTGATTCCCTACAGATGCAAGCAGTGGAGGAAACATTCGGGATAATTTCAAAACAAGAATCCTATTTCCCCCCAATTACTCTATTGTAAAAGTCTGTCCAAGTAGTTGCTAGATGCCTTAAATACACCTACTGATTAATTCAATCATTCAACATATTTACTGAACATACACTATATGCCAGAAACTTTCCTAGGTACTAAGAATACAGCAGAGATCAAGAGTCATTCAAGGAGCTTACAGTTTAACCTAGACAGGCAAGAAAGACACAAGTAAATGTTACATGGATGAGAGAGGGCTGAGGGAGCAAACCAAGACATCAGAAAATAACAGGGATAACCTATTGTGACATATTATATTGCTTACCTGATGCCACCGTTCCGATTCCTTTATGGTTAATGTTCCATTTCAAGGAGCCTCAAAGAGTCAAGCCTTTTATTTGTGTTAAATTCCAAAAGCAAATGATAACTGTGTTTTTTAATTGGCCACCTGCATCCACAATTTAAAATCTGCTGGAGAAAATGAAGGATGCCCTTTGGAAAAAAATGTTTCTCCATATGTTCACACAAAACGAATTTTAAAAATAATTTTTAAAATTAAAAACCTTATGTAATGTTCATTTTGAAACAAAAAAAAACAACTTAATTTGAAAAGTTATTAATCCTGACAGAAATATTCTGTCTTACTAATGCACTTCTTTCTACAACAGGGGAACCCTGCCTACCAGAAATATCTAAGACCACTACTACAAAGTTGGAGATCCAAGCTATGAAATAATCAGCAGCATTCAAGAAGCACCACTTGCCCTGGCCGGCTTGGCTCAGTGGATAGAGCATCAGCCTGCGGACTGAAGGGTCCCAGGTTCGATTCCGGCCAAGGGTACAAACCTGGGTTGCAGGCTCGATCCCCAGTGGGGGGGGGGGCAG